TATCAAACTTGTACTTAAAAATCAGTTTATACTGAAAATACACTCATAAAGCTCATTTCAGACTGGCTTATAGCTTTGTCCTCTTGATGCAGAAATGTGACCTCCCCACAAATTCTAATTAATTCACTTTTTAAAATGTACTTTAGTTTTAGTTTCTTGCAGCGTGCCACAGTTAAGGTTATTGCTCAATTTCTGTGGAAGGTCTTCTGACTAAATATTGCAAACTTTAAAGGGGAATTAATCTATTTCTATTTTTCATGTGCAGTCTCTATCAGAATATTTTCCCCTGAAAGCTTAAAGATAATTCTCAAAACTCTGTCAGAGATGACAGCTTAAAAACTGAAAGCCTTCCCAGGATTTCCTGATGAGACTGGAATGTTGTTTCAAGCAGGATTTGGCTGCAGAATACAAGTACAGTTTACGCTATAAACTTCAGTAAGCAACAGTACTGTTCAGCATAGGCTAATATCTTTGGTGGCTTTGGCAAGTTAGTTGCTGTGTCTTGGGTAAAGGGGGAGGGAAAGAAAAGTGACAATTTCAGAGAGTCTCGGCCATGTTGTCCCAGAGATGTACTTTTGTATCTTCCCCAGTAAATTGCATAAGCTGCACAGGAGAGAACATTTTGTCCACAAATTAATGAGGTTTTATTTTGAAAGTATACCAGTATACCATGAATTGCAAAACTTTTGTCTGATAATCTGACAGCTGAATTCTTTGATGGTCACTTTGGAGTACTTCCGAACTGTCTATCCTCCCATCCCCCTTAACAGAAATTGAGATTACCAAGAAGAAAACAGTGTGTTCGCTTCTTCATTCTTCTTAGGATAAAGATCCGTATTATTTATAGAATCAACAGCATGCACTGTTGAAAGTTTTCTTCTGTCCATGCTCCAGCTGTGAAACCTGGCACTCATCTGACCCTTCAGTGGACCAGCTCGCCTCTTACCTAGCAGAACTGATGACCAGAGTAAGATTAGTGCTGCATTTAGTATGCTGAATTTGCTCAGTGCAGAGTTGGACAAGTGCCGCCTGAGCCAGCAGAAAAGCAAATAAACAGCTAGGGCTGGTAGAAAGAGGTTGGGATAGTTTCCTTTATGGGTGGTCAGGGAGTTGGATCAAGCCATTACAGGCAATTTTAAGCCAATATACCAGGTTTCAGATACGTTCCTCACCCTTTTTGAGAGCAAAAACAAATTAAAGTTGGGGGTTTTTTTCACTTTTAACTACTGTTCACTCTGAAATTCTGCCTAATGGCCCCTAGCACTTTGCATTTAAATACAGTATATTCAGATTAAGTCCCTTATCCTGGAAATTCTGATAACTAACTTCAGAAGTGCTACATAAGTCTATAGTTCTTGTGGGGCTTGTGGAAAAGAAGTATTTCTTCATTGAAAATACCCAAAGAACAATTTTTTTTTTTTTTACCATATGTAAACTTCTGGGCGACAACTTTTAAATTTGCAATATTAAATTCAGTGCAGTAAATCCTTCCCGTAAAAAGATATATTGCAACTAGTTGTTTTCTAGAAGAGGCTTGAAGAGGGAGACGACATATCCCTTTCCTAATGAAGACAGTACTACTTGCAGGGATGATCTGGAACATGTGGTGGACTCTTACAAGCCTTTCCATTCTCTTGTTACTAGATGCCTCCCAAACTGTCTTTTCTCATCCAGCTTTCATTAAATAGCATGAACAGCCATAAGGGTATCACTAACAATCATGTGTAGACCTCCACCTAAACCTAACTTCATATACCTACTGTAATGCCTTGCAAAGTCTCATCCACCTGTCTGACAGCTTTGTTCTTGATGGGATGTGTGATTCGGGTGAAGCTGCGAATCAGAAGTGAAGCGTCAGTTAATATGAAGCATGACTTTCTCCACATGCTTAAAACTTCGACGACCTTCGTAATACCAAATTACCCAAATGTATTCACTGTCTGGTTCCACAGCCATCTCCTTTGCACTTTTTAAGTATAACGAGAAGGGATGTCTGCACTTTTTTATTTTCATTTCAGATCACATATGGAAATAACATTCCTGCTTCATAGTCTCTTATATGCAGAATAACAGATTGTATCTATAGATGTGCTTATAGAGAATGTTAATGTAGTTAAGGTTTTTAGTCAGAATGGTAAGTTAATTGGTTACGTGTTGTGTTTGGTTACATATTGGAAGTGCAAGGGAATTTGCTGTGGTGCTGAAGAGCTTAAGAGTTCACAACAGTAATTAATGTAGGTGTAATGTAGGGAATTTGCGATGCCAACGTGAATATAGAGTATGTATTTAATACACAGGTTTCCTGCTGTCAACTTTCAGTTTACCAGATGTGCTGTTTCCTTACTCTAAGTCTGGGTAATGCCTCCCTAGTATAGTTTTGCAGATAACCTTTCTTAGGAAATTTCCACATAGTTACAGGCTTATGTATTTATGCATTTCTGCCACTTCAAGATTTCAAGAAATTATTGCTGTTCATGAAAGCATCCTTCGCTTCAGTGGCTGTGGAATTGCAATTAGGGTATCAGGCAGATGTAGAGGGTAGCTTGTTCACTTCTGTTCAGACCTCAAGCCATACATACAAACAGTATCCCTAATGCCCTACTTTTTGGTGGGATTTAATATGCATAAAGCTTGTGCTAGTTCTCTGCA